CGCTTTATTATTGAAGTATAATATTCTTACTCATTCTTATCAATTTTTTGTACTTGGAAACATATCACCAGTAATCTGCCAATTATTTCTTAGAAACACTAGATGCTCAAAAGTAGTAGGTAGGAGTGATATTCTTTTTTCTGTTATTGTATTTCTAGCATCACTAAAAAGTCTTTCGCTTGCAGTTGAAGTTGCTGGGATAGCCAAATATTTTCGAGCTAATTTACTTAACACAGGAAACCATTTTTGATTAGTACGCCACCAGGTTAATGGACATTGATCCCATAGAATTTCTTGAGCTCCAAGATAATCTAAGACTTCTAGCCGTGGGTATCTATTATTAAACATTGAAGTTATTAAAGAATTAGATTGGCTTTGTAAATTATCATTTTTTTTTATTCTATATATAACCCGTGATTCTTCATATTTAGTTTTAAGCAATTCAATAGTTTTATTTTTTAGAGATTCTGACATAAAAGAAAGAGGCTTGCACCGAGGATCCAAAAGTGTTGCTAACATAGCTTCATTACTAGGTACATTCCAATAATGTACCATAGCATCATATAATGCAGACTTTATTTTTTCTTCAAGATTTGTACAATTTTGTAGGTTATTAATATTAATTCGACGTTGCTTTCTATTTGATGTGTGATCTTCTTGTACTCTATTATCGTCATCATAAATAACATCATCCTCAAAAACATCATTAGCAGAATAAAAATTCATATTTGAGGTTTTAGAAAATAAAAGAAACCCTTGTTCAATTACAGTAATCGCACTATACATAAAACTGATTGTAGCATATTTGCTACCTCCCAATAGTTCGGTTGCTTCAGCAAAAGGCTTTAAAATTGCAGTTAATAATGAGATAGCATCCCATTCATCACTTGTTAGATTGATTTTTTCTAGACGAATACCATCTTTTTTGGTTTGCAAATCATTGTCTATTGTTATATTGGCTATCATTACACTAATTATACCCTGAATTTGTAGAAGTCGTTGCTAAGCAAGAAATGATGAGTTCCATCTTGTGGGAACATCTGCAATAATTCGTAACTGATGGTCATTATTTTGGAGTTTCTAAAATTATATATGCCACACATTAAATTAAGAGTTTTATTGACAAATTTTTACTTCATTAGAAATTTAATACTAATATCATGTATTTAATTATTTCATATATCAGTAATTATAAAATTAATTTAATATCATATACATTAAGATATTATAATTCTTAAATTTCACTTTAACTCTAATAAATACTGAATTTTTCACTTACTGTATTTTCAGATCGGTGTAAATTTTTTTGAATATCAATTAATCTTTCTGTTTGCTTGGGTGTAGTAAAAAACAACATGAGTCTTTTGGCACGTGCTATAAGAATTTCAGCATCCAATAATCCCTTTCTGATAGCACATTGCAAAGTATGTGCCGTGCATGGAATCTGAACAATATTTGGCATAAACTTTATTGCTTTAACCATATTGCTGCCATTGTCTGTTGTGATGGTAAAAACCTTATCTGTTAATTTCCAGTCATCAATTATAAAACGTAATGCTTCTACAATTGCTTCGCCAGTATGTGGATATGGTAGATATTGAATCGTAAGAACAATTTCATTTAATTGAAAATCATTGTCAATAAACGAGCAAGTAACTCCAAAATATCTCATACGATTCCGTCCTGTCCACAGATCACAAGTCAAAGAACAAGTTATAATATTATTACAAAGCATTTCTTTAAGATGTTCTTTAGAAGCTAAAAAAGCATCTGTAAGTAATTTTCGGCAATGCCTTTCACTAGGCAGTTGATAATTAGGGTCAAATT